AGCCTGATGAAACACCAAGATCCCCATCGAGACCGCCCAGTTTATCTCAACGTGCGATCTCGCAGACCTTGACAAGCACGGCAAACTTAGCCAACCTTCTTCCTACAGGCACGCTCCTGGCCTTCCAACTCCTCATGCCGATCTTCACCAACAACGGATCGTGCGATTCCGCCATCCGCCCCATGACGCTTGTCCTCCTCTTGCTCCTCGCCCTTTCCTGCTTCCTCGCTTGCTTCACGGACAGCGTCAAGTCATCGGATGGACAAGTTTACTACGGTTTCGCAACGTTCAAAGGGATGTTCCTGTTTGACTACCCCGATCCCACAGGTTCAACACTGCCCGACCTGAGCAAGTACAGAATCAAGTTCATTGATGGGGTTCACGCAGTCTTGTCTGTGCTCGTGTTCGGCGCTGTGGCTTTGAGGGACAAGAACGTTTTGAACTGTTTCTATCCGACACCGAAACACGAAACTCAGGAGGTTCTGAGCATCGCACCGGTCGGAATCGGGCTCATTTGCAGTTTGTTGTTTGTGGTGTTTCCAACCAGAAGACACGGAATTGGCTACCCGATTACACATGGCAAATAATTGTTCATTTTGTTCAACGACTTCCCCTTTTCCCTATTTATTTGTTTATTTATTTTATTCAAAAATAATAGAATAAATTACACAAGTTAAATTAATTTTAACTTTTTTTTACGTATTTTTATGTTTATTTTCTGTTTACTTGTATTTAATTTATTATAAAGTTAGATGTAATGAAATACGAATTCACTGTAAACTTATAATATTTATACATTATCGTTTAATTATAAAATACTTCAAAATGTATGAAGATAAATATTTAAAATCTATATATTATGAGTATATAATAGTAATATATGGTAGTCAAAAAAATTTTCTAACAAATATCATACTAACTAAATTTGACCTTATCCTTCCACAATAGACTTTAGCCTGAACGGTGCTGGAAACAAGTTGAAACAGTCAACCTTCATTGGTTTACGCTCTAGCTTGAATATTGCAAGTTTCGTGGACCTTGTCTCTTCGGTTCATGCATATAAGTAGTCAATTAAACTCCAAATAATCAAAAAGACAAAAAAAGGAAAATTTGAAAGTAAATCAGCAGAATGTCTAGCGCCAAGGAGCAAACTTCCCCAAGGGGCGAAAGCCAGAGCCAGAGCCAGAGCCAGAGCCAGAAGAAAGAAACGCTGGAAGGGCTACCGTTAGAGAGCAGCCCTTACGTCAAGTACCGAGATTTGGAGGATTACAAACGCCAGGCCTACGGCACGGAAGGACACCTCCCAGTTGAGATAAAGCAAGGCGCAAGCGGCAGCACCGATGCCCCTACGCTAACCGGAGCCGCCGTGTCCGACGCTAAGTCCATCCTCACCAATGCTTCCGGCAACTAATTAAAGGCATCATGTCGCATTTAATAATATATCAAAGTTTTGATTATTATTAATTAATTATATTATTAGTTTTTTTAATTTTGGGACCGTGAAAAAATAATTAATACATGCATCTTCCTTGTAGTTTTAATATATATTACGGAAATTGTAATCAATAACTAAAATGTATGTATATTCATTCATAAAATTAGGTTTGATTTTTTTAGGGGGGATTCAGGCTATGTACTTTTGTCCCATAATGTTGTATTAGTTTGACTTTTCAATTAAAGATTTTTAATTGATTTAATTAAGCTATAACAAATGAAAACTTGATTTTAAAACATTTAATTAAAATGATTAATTCATAAAAAGTTATCAAACTTAAAGAAAGTTATTTTTAAAAAATCAAAGTCAAATATTAATTATAGGGAGTATCTATTATCTTATAAAAATCGTTTGGCTAAATGCTCAACTTGGGATTAAATGTTTTAGTACTTTTTAATTAAGGCCAAACATTTCAATTGTAATAATTAATTGCTAAACGTTTTTTGATTCTTTATGATTAAGGGTTGACGAGTTGATTGAGCATGTATTACATGAGATAAAAAATCACATTAAAAATATAGTTGTTACATTATGTTAAAAATTTAGTTATTATATACTATGTTAAAAAATGTAATTATTATATGTTATGTTAAAGATTTTATTGTTACACGTTATATTAAAGATTTAATTGTTACACGTTATATTAAAAAATATAATTGTTATCCGCTATATTGAAAATTTAATTGTTATATGTCATATTGAAAAATGTAATTATTACACGTCATGTTGAAAATTTAGTTATTACACACTATATTGAAAAATGTAGTTGTTATCCGTTATATTGAAAATTTAGTTATCACACGTTATGTTGAAGATTTAGTTGTTATAAGATTTAGTTGTTATACATTGAAAATTTAGTTATTACACGTTATATTGAAAAATATAATTGTTATCCGATTTATTGAAAATTTAATTATTACATGTCATGTTGAAAAATATAATTTTTACATGTCATGTTGAAGATTTAATTGTTATACACCATGTTAAAAATTTAGTTGTTATATACGATGTTGAAAAATATAGTTGTTGTTTGCTATGTTGAAAATTTAGTTATTACACGTGTATTTTTAAAAATATAGTTATTATATACCATGTTAAAGATTTAATTATTATACATCATATTGAAAATTTAGTTGCTCATATGTTATGTTAAAAATTTAATTGTTACACGTCATATTGTAAAATATAATTGTTACAAGCTATATTGAAAATGTAGCCATTATATGTCATATTAAAAATTTTAATTAATACACGCTATGATAATACATACTCACACATAATTTGAACCATTTTAACTTAACAAAAACAATTTTTTAATAAAATTACTTTACAAAGTCAACGTCCATGTTATGTGCATATCTTATACGTAATTTTAAATTGATAAAACTCAAAAATTTTGATCCCAAATTGAATATTTAGTCAAATTATTTTAATAATAAGAAATAATTATTTTTTAGTTTTCTTCTATCTAGTAAAATTATAAAAGTGTTCATAAGTCGAGTTAAGTTTATTGAATAATTTTTGAAAATCAAAGCTCAAGTTTGACTCAATCTATTTATTTAATTATTTACAAATAAATAACTTAATTGGTTAAGTTTCAAAATATATGTCTAAACCTTTATTTAAGTTGATCTAACTATGTGAGTTTAGACAAGTAGGTGGATTTTTGAACACTTTTATGAAGATATATAAATATGTTAATTTTTTTATTTTATTATTTTTTAAAGTAAAATATTCTTAATTTTTTAAAATTTTATCGAAATTACATGAAAGTTTATTAGTTTTCCAAATGGATACTCCGTCTTCAAAAAAAAAATTTTCGCTGTGCATGTAAGTTTAGTTATTAATCAATTGTTAATATTTTCGTTAACTTATTGATGTGGCAAGAATAAAAATATAATTTTACCTTTAATTAATTTTTATAATTACTATTATATTTTTTTATTAATTAAAAAAAAACTCTACATGAGATGAAGAGTATCAGTAAGTGTTTTTTATTTTTTATAAAATATAACAATAATTTTTTAAAATTTTGTTAACGGTGTTCATATTCTTAAGATGAAATATCTATTTTGAAAATTAATATATTTTCGGGTAATTTTGATCAAAATTTAAAAAGTAACTTTATTTTATTTTTTACAATAAGGATGAATGAATTGTTTAATTAAAGAATTTTTTTCCTTCCATATTGTGCATCTATTCTTTGTGTTTTTTTGGCAATGGTGCATCAATTATTTGAATTCCCATTCTCCCAAACAAGTTAAAAATTAAAGAGAAAAATCATGTGCTGACGTGTCAAATGGTAACAGGTCTGTCACCCTTTTAAATACATAAACTATCACCCCGTAAAACAAATTTTGAACCAAAATTCCCGCCCGCTGACCAAAAAACTATTTCCTCCCAGAAAGGTAACTTTCCCTCCATTCCAACGTCTATTTTCTCTCTTTCCAAACACCCAAAAAAAGTGAAAAACCCTTTCGCATCCCTCTATTCATTTTCCATCTCCGAAACTCTCTCCGCTTTGTCTCGAGCTGCAAATGGGGAGGGGTTCGAAGCGAAAGGTCGAGAAGCAGCAGCTCGATGAACCTATCGATTCAGAATCCGAAACGCAAAGCGAGGATTCGACTACCTTGTTGCATCCTCGATCGAAGAAAGGCCGAAAGGTTGCACGAGACGCTGAGCTCTGTCTCGTTGGCCCACCCATTGTGGCCGATGAAGCCCGACGCCGATGGCCTTTGAGATATCAGTCAAAGGTTAGACACATTAAAATGAAGATTATTTTGTTTCTTTTTCCCTTTATAGCATAGTTTTGCCCTGATTATTTGTTTAGTTTTGGTTTTTCTGAACTGCAGAATAAGGTTAAGAAGCATGCTGTAACTGAGACTTCAAATGAGTAAGTTCCTGCACTTTTAAATCACCTAAGTTTATAGTATTCGTTAAAAAGCTGCAGTTTTCTTTTTAAATGATTTACAAGTTACGTTGCTGCTATATTGCAGTGATGGATAATTTTTGTTGTTGATATTTTAGAAAATTTTTAAAGTTGATCACAGCTCATGGAATAGAACAAATCTTTTGTTACTTTACGCAGAACAGAAACTTGTGAATCGATCAACAGTGTGATAGATTGAGTTTTAGTGTATAGGTTATATAATTCGCCTTCAATTGGTTGATTTTGGATGTTTCATTGTTTTTTTTCTTCACAAGAATGTATAAATTCATTGTTCATTTGTTTAGTTGATTCTTGTTGATACATTTATGTTCTTAAATTTTGGTTTGTGTTTTTTACCCAATTATAAGTGAGGAGGACGATGTACTGCAAGCAAGAAATCATTATGATAGGGCTAAGGTTGATGGTTGTCTCTACAAATTAGGTGATAATGCGTATGTTCAGGTTTGCTATTCTGTGTCTTTACACTTTTGTATTCAGAGCTTTCTGTAGTTTTATTTTTTAATTACATTGAGTATAAATATTACGTATGATCTTTTGCTTTCAGGCAGAAGATGGCAATCTTAATTACATTGCCAGGATTGTTGAATTATTTGAAACAATTGATAAAAAACCATATTTTAAAGCTCAATGGTTTTATAGGCCTGAAGATACAGTGAGAACATCTTTCTTTAAAGCTTGGTGATTTTGATAGTTTATTTCTTATTTCAATTTGTTTAAAAAGTATTGATTATTAAATGTTTGAATATTTCTAGGTTATTAACAAGGATAACACACATTTGATTGATAAGAGACGAGTGTTTCTCTCTGACATCCATGATGACAATCCATTGAATTGTATCCTCTCCAAAGTAGAAATTGCTCAAGTTGCACCAAATGTATGACTAACATTCATTTCACATTAATTGTTCTTAGTATATTGATGGTTTGTTATATATTGCTAATATAAGGTTTAAACTATTTGTTTCATCTCAGATTGACTTAGTTGCAAAAGACAGAACAATCCCACAATCCGAACTATATTACGATATGAAGTACTCCTTACCATACTTGACATTCAAAAATATAGTCGCTGGTAATATGTTATTATTATTGTATTGATTTTGGAGGATATCTATAATTACAATTAAGCTAAAAATTAAATAAATAATACTTGTCTTCTGTTTCTTAATGGTTGATGCTGCTGTATTTTTTTGTTGATTATATGATTTACTTGTTTCGTGAACTATGAGAACTTTCTTGATAATTGCAGAAACTCCAAAAAGAGATAGTGATACATCATCCGTAGTTTCGAGTGAGTGTGGTTCGAGTGAGTGCAATTCAAATAATACTACTTCACAAGTTGAGAGGTCTTTGCTAGATCTATATTCTGGTTGTGGGGCTATGTCCACTGGCCTTTGCATGGGTGCCTCCTTATCTGGTGTAAAGCTAGTCACAGTAAGTTAATAAATGCATAACATTTTAACTCTATTCTTTAATTTTTCACTTCTAGTTGGTATTTGATTGAGAGTTTTTTCCCTACTTTTGGTATGGCAGAGGTGGGCTGTTGACATAAATTCCTATGCTTGTAAAAGTTTGCAATGGAATCATCCTGAAACTAAGGTAAACAGTTTAATGTTTGATAATTATTAATAAAATTATTATATGATTTCACACTGACTTATATATCTCCTCAAATGATAATTAGGTGAGAAATGAGACTGCAGAGGATTTTTTGTGTTTACTGAAGGAGTGGGAAAAGTTATGCCAGAAATTCTCCTTCCTTGGAGCAGACGAACCACTTGAAAATGTTTCTAGTGAAACTAGTGATGAGGAGGATGATGATGGCCAGGAATGTGAAGAGGAACCTGAAAAAGAAAGAGAAGATGATGGAGACTCTGAGGATTCCTCTGAAGAATTTGAAGTTGAGAGATTATTGGATATTTGTTTTGGTGATCCTAACCATGTGAACAATCCGGGATTATATTTTAAGGTATCGTTATATCTCTAAGAATGAAGAATTGGTACTAGCTGATGATAGTTTGTTAGTTTTATTATTATGTCATATTCTGTCTTCTTTTATTTTAGCATATAATGGCTTTTTGAAAGCTTATGTGCACTAACTATTCATTACAATTAAGCTTTTCTTTCTGGATTAATGCTTTACATTTTTATTGTTTTGGGTCTTAAATGTAGGTGCGTTGGAAGGGTTACGATGTGAGTTATGATACTTGGGAGCCTATGAAGGGTTTGAGGTAATTTGTTCAATGAATATATACCCATCAGATCATTGACTTACCTTGTGATTCATTTTTTTAATGTATAATCATGTTTTCAGTAATTGTCAAGAAAAAATGAAGGACTTTGTAAGGAAAGGGTACAAGTCAAACATATTGCCTTTGCCTGTAAGTCTTTTGATTGTTATATAGACTCATTAGATTGGTGGCATTTGTAAAATAATTTTCTACTTTACATTCAGTGTAATGATGGTTTATTTTGTTTTTCTTTATCTTTTGTTTTGTAGGGAAATGTTTACTTTATATGTGGAGGCCCCCCGTGTCAAGGCATAAGTGGGTTTAATCGCTTTAGAAATGGAAATGCCCCGTTAGATGATATAAAAAATAAGCAATTAGTGGTGTATATGGATATTATAGAGCATCTGAAACCGAGATATGTTTTAATGGAAAATGTTGTAGACATTTTGAAGTTTGCTAAGGGTTTTTTGGGACGTTATGCCATCGGCCGTTTAGTTTCCATGAATTATCAAGCTAGAATGGGGATGATGGCTGCTGGATCTTACGGGGTTGCACAATGTAGGATGAGGGTTTTTCTGTGGGGTGCACATCCTTCAGAGGCAAGTATTTTGAAACTTTATAATATGACATTATAAGATTGTTAGTTTAATACTTCATTGTCTTTTTCCTTTAGAAATTGCCTCAATATCCATTGCCAACTCATGAGGTTGCACTTAGAGGACACGTTCCAAATGAGTTTGAGGTATATATGTTGCTTAACTAAAGTAATTTAGGTTGCTATAAGAATAAGATCTCATTAGTAGATACTAACTCTTTTTTTTAATTAAATCTAATTGTCTTGAAAATAGGAAATCAGTGTTGCTTATAGTAAAAGTGATACTTGTCAGTTGGAAAGGGCTCTTACTCTTGGTGATGCGATATCTGATCTTCCACAAGTATGTGCTTTTTCCTCAATGAATAATTGAGTAGACTTGGGATCCTATTATTTGAGTTTCACTACATCTTATTAGGTTAACAATGATGAGAGCGAGGATCAGAGGAAGTATGGCAAAGTTGCTCGAACAGAGTTCCAAAAATATATTAGATTGCAAAGAAAGGGTATGTTTCCTTTCACAAAAGAAATACAACATGGACGTACCATATTCTAACATGATAGATGTTAAGTCATGGCCCTTGTGAACTAGTTTATCATTTGGGTATTGGTTAGACTTTTTCGTGCTTGCTACTATATGACTCCTGCATTCACTTCTTCCCAGTGTACCTTTTTTCATTAACAGCTTTGAAAGGTTTTTCTTGTCATTGAGTCTATCCTTTGATCATTCAGTGCTTCACATCATCAGTTGCTCTAAAGTAAGTTCTTTGCGAAGTGTGTAAGAAGCCATACTGGATAAGATTGACATCCACTTCCACCAATTTCCATACAGAATTTTGAAAATGTTAGATGCTGCCTATTTTGGGGTTAAGAATATTGGCAGATTAATTAGTCATCTGATATGCCTATTTTGAAAACTGTTTTAGTTTTACTCCCTCAACTGCCACTGATCTGCCAGAAACTAATCCTGTAGTCTTGCACCTGCATCATCTAAAATTTCAGTAATCATTTTTTAGATTTTCTTATATATACATTATTATTAAAATGAAAACCAGCATGTTGTCCTTGTCCTCATCACTATCTTACAACCATGGTTTTGCAATATGTAGATGTAATAAATTTGACAGTTGATACTCGACATGCATCATCCTTGGGAATGCTATATGATCACCGGCCTTTGCAATTGAATGCTGACGATTATGAACGTGTTTGCCACGTTCCAAAGAGGAAGGTATGTGCGGTATACCCGTTTATGGTGCTTGGGCTTGGCATATTTCTCATTTCTCAATAGCTGAGCTTTTATTTTTCCAGGGTGCGAATTTCAGAGATCTACCAGGTGTAATAGTTGGTGAAAATAACAGGGTAGAGTGGGACACAACAATGGAAAGAGTGAAGCTCAAATCTGGGAAACCATTGGTATTATGTTGTGCACAGCTCTCTTCTTGTTCATTAAATTTACTTCACGATAACTTTTTCCTAATTTGTTAATTATTTTAATAGGTGCCTGATTATGCTATGAAGTTTGTCAAAGGGCGGTCAACCAAGTAAGTACCCCATAACTATTACTAGTGAATTCTGACTTTTGCTTCAATGTTATATTCTGAACAACCTTACCTGTTACTTGGAATTTAGGCCATTTGGTCGTTTGTGGATGGATGAAATTGTTAAAACAGTAGTAACAAGGGCTGAACCTCACAACCAGGTTTTTTCTCCTGTTTCCATGTCCTGGCCGTATGGGTGGGTGTTATCCAAATATATTCTAGTGCTTACTTCGAAATCGAACTTTTTTGGCAGAGCATCCTTCATCCTTCCCAAGACAGGGTACTCACAATCCGTGAAAAGGCTAGACTACAGGGGTTCCCGGACTGCTATAAGCTTTTTGGGCCTATCAAGGAGAGGTTTGTTGAGCAAAGTTCAAGTTTTTAAGATTGCCATAATTTAGTCTTATCCATATTTGTTGGACGTTCAGTTTATTTGGTATTGAAGAACATTTCTTGCCATAGGGAATCTCAATGCTGCTTTTAGCATATCTTTAGTTCTAGGTATCTCTTTTCATCCATTTATGTAGGTGCCCTTATTTAATTACAATGGTTCTGCTACGTAATAATTTCAATGTTTTTCTTTCAGTGGGTAAAGGTCACTTACAATAGTGTCTTGCTTCATTTCACATTAGAGTGGCACAGGCTAATTGCACACATTGTTTTTTGTTTCTTTTTTTCAGATATATACAGGTTGGAAATGCTGTTGCTGTTCCAGTTGCTATTGCATTGGGATACGCATTTGGTTCAGCATGCCGAGGAGTGTCCGATGATGAGCCTTTGATAACCCTTCCTTTCAAGTTCCCAAAGTGCCTTGCACGGTCTTCACAAATAGAAGCAGATGATTCTGATTGAGGAAGTTCCCAGCAAATAAAATTTGGTATTGCCCCCTGCATCCTTTTTATCACTCATGTTTGCTGTCGATTGCCAGTTGAGTGGATTATGACAGAAATATAAGCATTTCTCAGGAGTTTTGCCTCATTTCCAAGAATAACAGGAAGGATGTTGACTGCAGAAGGACGTTTATCGGCAGACGGGCATCTCCTTTCGTGGTTCCCTGTATACATCCCCGTTGGGTTGAATTGGATTAAGCATGTTGTTCTGCTTTAGACTTCTGTGCAATCAAATGCACAAAGAGGGG